TTGCCTCCTAGGCTTATTGCCTGTGTCCTGCTTTTTTTCCGTTGTCCCTGGCAGCAGAAATTATCTGAAATTGTCTTATCTTCTTTATGGAACTTGTTTATTCAACTGGCTGGACTTCGTAGGGTGCAAGCGGGAAATAGTTCAATTTTTCTCACCCCACTGCCCTAGCACTTACTCTGTTTCTTCTCTCTTCCCGCTCCTTGAAAATATTTCAGCGGTGCCTGGCTGGCTTGGTCGGTAGAGTGTGGGATTCCTGATCTTGGGGTTGTGAGTTTGAGCCCTGCGTTGGTGGAGAGATTACTTAAAAAAATAAAATCTTTTTTTTAAAAAAAAAGAAAATATTTCAGCTAAGTGTAGCTTTACCCATTTCCTTCTGATGTTAGGTCAATTTCAATTTCTGGCATCAAAAAGTGTGATTCTTTTAGGAGATTTGAAGGATTTAGGAGTGAAGTGCCATGATGTCTGAAGCTTGCTTTCGAATGGTTCAGCCAAACTATGCACGTATGCATGCGCACACACACACAGCCGTCAACAATTTTTGGGTGAGCATATGGGTGTTTATTGCACTATTCTTTCAACTTTTCTGTGTGTTTGAAAATTCTTGGAAAAAGTTGGGTAAGAAAGAAACTCTTTTTGCCAAGTTAAAAAATAAGCCTCGTCCTATCTCAATAGAAATATTTATCCTCCATCCAGTATCAGCTTCCTCAATGCAAGCTGATGGGGTTCTCAGCAGTGGGGAAGGTGGGTGGTGGGTGTGTGGTCATTGAGGGTTGGCTCTCTCTGACTCACCTCCTTCCTCCGGGGAAGGCAGCTGCATTCTGGCTCTGACAGAAGGGTCCGGAGGGGAGGGAGGATGACAGGAAAAGGGTAGCACTCCATGATTATGCTGTTGTCACACAAGGAAGGTGGACTGGTGGGCTTACCCCTTGGGGGGCTCAGCCTGCACTGATTCTGATGCAGGGAACGTCTAATCCTGCCCAGTGCTCCTGACAAAGCCTCTTTCTGTGCCCACAGGCAGCCCTCTTGGGTGAAGTCCCCTAGCAGCACTCCAGTCCAGCTCTCTTCTGGATGTCCGCTCTGGCCATGGTGGGAGGCAGGTCTCCCTACTGCAGCCCTCTCACCTCTGTTCTATCAGGCTGGTCTCCATTTCCTCCCACCTTCTCTCCCCTGGCTCTGCTCCAGAGGCTGCAAGGCCCAGAGGGTCAGCGGCTCAGCCAGCGCCCAGGACAACAGTGTGGGGATGACGTTCCACAGTCCTCTCCGGCTGCCTCCGCCCTCCATGGTGGCGCTCATGAATCCCCCTCTCACCTGGCTTAAGGGGTGGTGTTTTTTGGGGTGAGTGTGTCAACCCTCTTCCGCCTCCTGGGCTGACCCCTCTAACTCAGAACTGTCTCTCTCTTTTTTTAAAAAGATTTTATTTTTATTTATTTGACAGAGAGAGACATAGCGAGAGAGGGAACACAAGCAGGGGGCAGTGGGAGAGGGAGAAGCAGGCTTCCCGCGGAGCAGGGACCCCGATGTGGGGCTCGATCCCGGGACCCTGGGACCATGACCTGAGCAGAAGGCAGACGCTTAACGACTGAGCCACCCAGGTGCCCCAGAACTGCCTCTCTTGAACTTCTGAACCTCGTTGGTGTAGACTGGGGGCAGTGGGGGGCTAGGGGGAAGGCTTGCTTTTGTTACCTCTCAGTGAGCCAGCCGAGATGGCCCTCTGGGCCCTGGGGCCTCAGCAGAGAACCCCGAGGGCAAGAAAGGCCCGATTTGAGGTGCTGTCTCCTCTAGTTACTTCTTGCAGTCTCTGCAGAAGACTGGCACAGACCAGGGAGCTTTATTATTATGGTCTGTTGGTTGAAGGTGAAGGCAGACAGAGGCCAGGCTATGGTAGGTCAGGAGGCAGGATGCACCCTGAGCGCAAGGATTCACAGTGAAGAAGCCAGGTGGACCCAGATCCCTGGCCCTGCCCCAGGCTCAGCCTCACCCCCACCCCTGCCGAACCAGCCAGACCCAGTCTTTATTATTATTATTATTTTAAAAAATACGTGGTGGGAGGAAGACCGTGTTATCTGTCTTAGCTCATTCCAAGCCCACTGAGATGCTAATGTCCCTTAGCTCCCTGTGACGTTAAACTTCGTGGACCAGCCTCTTCTCTCAGCTCCTACTTTGGAGGACATCACCGCTGCTGTCTTCATTGGTTTCCTCATAGTCTTCCCTGGTGCGGGGGTGTCCTCTGGTTGGGGGAGTGCTCTGCCACTCACTCACCTTCCTCCTTGCACACGCACAACCACCCCCCTCCCTGCTAATTTGGTGCCAGTGTGTGTGATGGAGATGTCCATGTTGCTGTTTGCCCTGACCCCTTGGGACCCATTTATCTGGCAGCCTCCTGGGGGTGCTGAGAAATCCAAGATGGGGGCTGCATCTGGTAATTATTTACTAGCAGCCACCAGCCTCAGTACCCAAACGTTTGGCTTTACACACATATTTTAAAGATTTATTTACTTATTTTAGAGAAAGAGAGAGAGAGAGGAGGGGCAGAGGGAGACGGTGAGGGAGAGAATCTTAAGCAGACTCCCTGCTGAGCACAGAGCCTGATGCGGGGCTCGATCTCACAACCCTGAGATCATGATCTGAGCCGAAATCCAGAGGCAGACGCTTAACCCACTGAGCCACCCGGGCGCCCTGGCTTTTGACTTAAAGATGACAGGAGGCCTTTGGTCACATTACAGTTCTGGACACCTCCTCTACTCCTCACCTCTCCTGGCTGAGTGCTTACAGCCCCTGGGCCCATGGTCAACCAAGTGAGCCAGAGAGGTGCCAGGAGGGGTGAGGGCAGAGGCCGGGATTGTAAAGCCAACCATGGAGTGGTGTCTGGCATGTCATTAGCTGCACCAGCTCTATACAGAGTAGGGACTGAAAGGTCAAGCAATCTCCTGGCTGTGCTGTGCACGTGTGTGTGTGTACGCATGTATGTGCACAAATGTGTGTGTGTGTGTTTGCGCACACGCACATCAGGAGGGGTTGATTTCCATGCTGCTGGATCCTGAACTACACATCAGGTGCTAAAAAGAGAAATTAAGGTTTACTGTATTGGTCAGTTATGTCCTAAAACTCAGCGGCTTACAACAACGATTTATTTTTGCTTCCACCTCTGTAGTTTGCCTGGGGGTCACCCAGACACGTCTTAACTCTTGCTGGGTTTAGTCAGCGCAACTTGGAAAAGAAAATGGTCCAGAAAACAAAAGGATGAGCAGAAAGCCGGCGGCAGTACGCGTACACACACCTTTGTGCACTTGTGCGTGTGTGCGCATGCGTGTGCACACAGTTGATGTGCGCACGCGCCTATGTGTGATGGGCCTGCGGGCTTGCGCGCGTGCGGTGGCTAGGTTGCAGGGTCTGGGGTGGGGGCAGGCAGAGGTGGTGGCTTTGAGGGGGAACGAGTGTTTGCCACGGGGGTGTAAGGGCAAATACAAATGAAAAATAACAAAACGAGTTTAATTCTCCCTATTGAAAAAAAAAAGGGAAGAGACTTCCTCCCTTTTCTTAGAGCATTCAGCTTAGAAACTTTGTAATTGTAAGTTCTGCCTCTTTGAAATATCTGTAAATCTTTTCATAAGCGAAGCCTCTTGCCAGCTTTATGTCCCAGGAATGTTTCCTGAAGGACCTGGAAGCCAGCTCTTTGAAATGGAATCAGGGAGGAAGAAAGCGCCCGTCTCCCGCTTTCCGTGGGAGAGAACGGCCTGACTTCAGCGGGTGCGTGGTTCCAAGTTGCACACCTACCTCCTGTCATAGAGATAGGAGGAAGGTATTTTTCTTCTGCATGAAGGCAATTAGCAAACACAGGTGACCACCGTAATTACTAGGTACATTTAGCATGAACTGTGTGTGACAATCGTGCTGTCACGTCCTCTTGGTGGAGGGCGGGCTGTCGCTTATCTTGAACACGTCATGTATGTACTGGGCCATCTGCCTGGCCATAGAAAAGGAGAGAAGTCTTCCTTTGCCATCTCTTTGCGGGTTGCCCGTGATGTGCAGCACATTCTGGATTAACGCTGATTTATTTACTTATTTATTTTTAAAGATTTCATTTATTTATTTGACAGAGAGAGACAGCGAGAGAGGGAACACAAGCAGAGGGAGTGGGAGAAGCAGGCTTCTCGTGGAACAGGGAGCCCGATGTGGGGCTCGATCCCAGGACCCTGGGACGATGACCTGAGCCGAAGGCAGACGCTTAACGACTGAGCCACTCAGGCGCCCAAACGCTTATTTAATCAAGTTGTGTTCTTTCCCTTCTACTTTTGCAGAGAGGTGTTCTGGGTTGGCAGGAGATTTTGTCTTTATTTTGTGTTTTCCCAGTGTCTGGGCGCCCTCCAGCGATTTTTTTGTGCACAAACGTGCATCTTTTCCAGATTGAGAGAGAGAGAGAGAGAGGAGGCAGCAAGTCTCCCAGCCTCCCGGGGCCACCTGGACCACCCGGGCCTCCTCGGCCAGCCTTACTGGAGGCAGCCTCTCCCAGAAGTTGGTGAGGGGCTCCTCGCCCAGGGAAGGGGGGCGCCTTCTGAAGGATCGCTGCTGCGGCTGCGGACCTCGGCGTGGCTCAGGGCCCACGAGGCGGCAGACCCCAGCCGGGACGGCTCGACAGCGACGCCGTGTGACCGCGAGGGGTGCCGGCGGCGGCACTGCCGCTTCTCTCCCCGTCCCCTCTGCGAAGCCAGGCTGACCGCTGCCCTGTGGACAGCTTCCGCTGGGGGCAAAGGACGATAATAAGGCAGCTGGGGCCTTGACCAACAGATTGGGAAAAATAGTCGCTATCCTCTAACATTTCCTGACCCCCAACGGGTTATAAGGCAACACGCATCTCTGATCCCCACCTGGGTCGGGCGGATGGGGTAGGGAGGGTCTTGGTTTTGGCATCAAGGCTTCTGTTTCCCACATTGCTTGATAATAAAGCATTGACTGTTCAGTGACGTGTGTCGTAGGCTGTGTCAGGATGTCCCTGAAACAAAATGGCAGCACCAAAGCAGCCTCAGCAAAGCATCTCACATCCAAACGGCTGCATCCCTAGGTCAGGCGCTGGAGGGGTCCCAGGACCACCGGGCATCATTCCTGGAGCTTTCCGTGTTGTGCTCCAGGGAGCATCTTTCACACAGAGAGTCAGGGAAGTGGTGCCCCTCATTGGCAATGTGCCTGTGAACACAGGCCAGTGAGGGTTGAACACTCACTGGGTGAGGGAAGGGAGAGGGTGGCTCTGATGTGTCCCAAGGGTCTGGATCTAGAGGGCAGGAGTTCCTGGCACAGGGTTGTTACATGGATAATTCTTTGTGTACTAATTCCTGTTGATGGGCATATGTTGGGAAGCATTCTGTGACTTCTTGGGTTGGGTGGGAAAGAGTGGTTGATTGATTACTGTATGAGTTTGCTATGGCCTCTGTAATGAATTTCCATTAACTTAGTGGCTTGAAGCAACACAGACTTATTGTTACAGTTCTAGAGATTAGAAGTCCAAAAAAGTCTCACTGGTCTTAAATCAAGGTGTCAGCAGGGCTGCGTTCCTTCTAGAGGCTCTAGAGGAGACTGTTTCCTTGCCTTTTCCAGCTTCTAGAGGCTGCCCACATTCCTTGGCTTGTGGCCCCTTCCAGCAACCACATTGCTTCAACTTCTGCTCGCATCATCACAACTTCTCTGACTCAACCATTGGTCCCACCCAGATAATCCAGGATTACTTTGATCTTGCAATTTTTCTTGCAGTCTCAAGACTGGCAAAATCCCCTTTGCCCTTGTAAGGTAATATATTCACAGGTTTTGGGGATTAGGATGTGGATTCTACTGAGGGGACATTATTCTATCTACTACAATTTCTGAAGTCTGTTTCTTAGTTGGGACTCTCTTATAAGCATACTGAGCCTGAGACATGAGCAGGTGGTTTATTTAGGAGGTGGTCCCAGGACACCTAGTAGGGCAGTGGGGAAGCGGGACCAATAGACGGTATGTCATCAAGCAGGAGACCCTTGTGGGCACCTGGAGCTGAATCCCACTGGGGAACTGCTGGAGACCGCATGGAGCGTGTGTCTCTGAGTTATTTCTGAACTCAGGCTGAGGGAGCTGGGGTATTTTGACATGAACTCTGGTGAGCCATGGGTCATGGAATATTGTGCAAATAGTTAATTCCCCTGCACTTGTAGGTTGCCATGCTTGGGGAGAGCAGGCTCCGGGGGCCAGAGAAAGCCTATTGGTAAGGCAATAGGGAGTCAGACCATCAATGACCAAAATGGCAAAGGCCAATGGGCTGTGGTCAAGGTGTCGACAGTTTCTGCCAGTCAGCCATGGGTATGGGATGAGGGTGTGGTGGCAGCATAGCAAGGCTCTGTCCACCTCTATATTCACAGGACCCCTAGGAGGGGCATGTGACCAGGACCAGGAGTCAGTCAGTTCACCTGCTTTAATCAACAAGTGGGAGGGGAGGCACGTGTAGCCACCATCCCCTCCCACAGCCTGTTCACAGCCACCATTTCATCTGAACTTCCGTGAAATTGAGACCCCTGATTAGGACCTTTGCTCACTTGGAAATCAGGGTGTGAAGTTTCTGGCACCCAGTGGAGAAGGAAGGAGTGGGGGGATATTGTAGGAGAAGTGTGAAGTGGGGGCACTCTGTCTGCACTCACTGACTTTTCCCAGTGACTGTTCTTCTTATCCTTCCCCTCCCCACTCCTCCTTTTCCTCCTTTTCTAGTTTTGTTTTTTAGAATTGCCATTTTTTTTGCCACTTTAGAATTAAATTACATACCAAACCCATGCCCAAGCACCAGCTGTGACTTGTACCATCATTTACTAAAACCCTTATGGAATTATTCAAACATACACTAAGATCGCTCACCTTCAACATTTATCAACATTTGGCAAATTTTGTTTCACCTATATTCTCCCTGGCCCATTTTCTTCTCATTATTTAAAAGGACACTTTAACATTACCAACATAGGGAGGATACAATCTGAAACTAAAGAAGAGTCCTTTAAATGGAAGAATTTTAGATGAAACAGGAATATTTAGAATTTTTCTTTTTCATTTTACTGCACTCAGATGCAAACTTTGTCATAAATCAGTGTTTGAGAACCATTTATCAAACCTGTTCTCCTAAGTGCATAGATGAGAGGACCAAGACCCACAGAGAGAGGGACGTGGCCAAGGTCACTCAGAGAGGAATGGCAGGGCAGACTGGAAGTCTTCTTGGAGCATAAGCCAGTCTGAAGCAAGGTTGTGCAAATTCTTTTTTCCCCCCAGAAAATAAGATCAGGAAGTAGTCCATGATATTATCTCCTCCCTGAATGCAGAGCTTGACCCTCTATGGATATCAACATTTATTACTGGATTGAGGTGACCTTGAGGAACTATGTCAGCTATCTATTGCTGTGTAACAAAGCACTCCAAAATGTAGTTGTTTAAAACAACCATTGGGCGCCTGGGTGGCTCAGTCATTAAGCGTCTGCTTTCGGCTCAGGTCATGATCCCAGGGTCCTGGGATTGAGCCCAGCATCGGGCTCCCTGCTCCGCGGGAAGCCTGCTTCTCCCTCTCCCTCTCCCCCTGCTTGTGTTCTATCTCTCGCTGTGTGTCTCTGTCTGTCAAATAAATAAATAAAATCTTTAAAAAAAATAAAACAACCATCATTTATTTGGATCATGAATTTGTGGGTTCTTCTGGTCTGGGCCAGCTCAGCTGATCTCTGCCGGGCTTTCTCATGTGTATGTAGTCAGCGGGTGGGTTGGTTGGCAGGCTCATTTCAGCTCCAGGAGCCTCTCATTCTCACTGGAAGCAAGCTAGCCTGGAAGTCAAAGAGCAGCGAGAGAGGAAAGCCCTACGAGCAAGTACTTTCCAAGCTTCTACTTGCATCATGATTGGCAATATCTCTTTGACCAAAGCAAGTCACACAGTCATGGGGTGGAGCAATAGACTCCCCTCTCTTCATCCTCCCCCTTCTCCCCCTTCCTCTCCTTCTCGCACTTCTTCTCCCTCTTCTCTCTCCTCTCCTCCTCTTCTTCCTCTCCTTCCGCTTCCTGTTCCGCTTCCTGTTCCCCTTCCTCCCCTCCCACTATAGACGGGGTGGCTTAAATAACAGGAATTTATTTCTCACAGTTTTGGAGGCTGGGAAGTCCAGTGTCAAGGTGCTGGCAGATTCAGTGTCTGGCGAGGACCCACTTCCTGGCTTGTAGACAGCTGCCTTCTGCCGTGGGCTTACATGGCCTTTCTTCAGTGTGTGCACGGAGAGAGGCAGATCTCCCTATCTTCCTACAAGGACTCTAATCAGGTGGGACCCTCATGACCTCATCTAAACCCAATTATCTCCAAAGGTCCCACCTCCAAACACCATCATAATGGGAGTTAGGACTTCAAACATATGAGTTTTGGGAGGATGCAAACATTGGCTCATAACGTACAGGAACCAAAGGGGACGTCTGTACGTGGAAATAGGTGGTGTATTAGTTTCCAGAGGCTGCTGTAACAATTACCACAAACCGCATGGCTTAAAACAATAGAGATGTATTCTCTTACAATTTTGAGGACCAGAAGTCTGAAATCAAGGTGTCGGCAAGGTCACACTGCCTCCAGAGGCTCTAGGGCAAACTGAGTCCTTTGCCTCTTCCAGCTGCTGATGGCTCCTGGAGCTCCCTGACTCGCGGCCACATCTCTCTGTTCTCAGCCTCAGGTGGCGTTGCCTCCTCCTCTGCTGTCACTCCTATAGGGACTCTTGTCATTGAATTTAGGGCCCACCTGGATAATCTAGATAAGCCCTTCCTCTCAAAACCCTTAACTTAATCACATCTTTTGTCTTATGAGGGCACAGTCACTCCTACCGTTTGAGGCAATAGTCACAGGTTTTGAGGATTAGGGTGTAGACCTATCTTTCTGGGAGTCATTCAGTTCACTACAAATGGGTTTTGGAAAACTGGATTTATCTCACTCAGTTTTGTAAAGGTGGAAAGAGAGGGTATGGGTGAGTGAGCGAGCAGGCACTAGGAGATTTCAGCGGGGAGGTTTGTGAAGAAGCCATTGGAAGGCTGTTATGCATCTGATTCAGGAACTTTCCTTCATGGAGGAAAGCACACAGACTCAAAATGCATGTTTCGTCATTTTACTGAAGTTGGCCCTGCTGCTCAGTACATCCCATATCATGAGAAAAAAAGTCTAAACTTCAGTCTCCAAAATACATATTCCAGATCCTTCTGCCAACTCAGATTCCCATGGAACCTACTCTAGTAGTCACTTATTACTGTGTAACAAATCGCCCCCAAACTTAGTGGCTTAAACAACACATATTTATTAGCTCACAGTGTCTGTGGGTCAGGATTCTGGACCTGGCTTAGCTGGGTGCCTTGGGCTCAAGGTCTGTTACAAAGATGCAGCCGAGCTGCTGGCTAGGGATAGGGTCTTATCCGAAGGTCCTACTGGGAGCAGGGTATCTGATCCCATGTGGCTGTTGTCAGGCCTCCGTCTCTCAGCATGTGGGACTCTCCTCATAGCTACCTCACAATATGGCAGCTGTCTTCCTCTAGAATGAGTGATGAGAGAGACAGAGAGAGAGATGCAAGATGGAATCGTAGCCTTTTTATTATATTTATTTATAAATATTTAATTTATTTATTTGAGAGAGAGAGAAAGCATGAGTGGGAGCAGAGGGAGAGGGAAAAACAGACTCCCCACTGAGCCTGACACGGGGCTCAATCCAGGACCCCGAGATCAGGACCTGAGCCGAAGTCAAATGCTTAACCAACTGAAAACACCCAGCTGCCCTCCGTAGCCTTTTTATAACTTAATCTCAGAAATGACAGCTTATCACTTTTGCTGCTTTCTATTTAACGCAAACATTTAAAAACTAACGTTTATGCTCCTGAATCATCAATTACACTGACATCAAATGCCTCAGCAGGATCTTGAGTTAGATTGACTTACCCTCTCCTCCCTTTGTTTTTGGTAGATGAGGAAGGGCTTCGAGCAGTTAAAACTGTTTCTCAAGTAAATGTAGCCGGTAAGCTAGCATTCAAACCCAGATCTGCTCAGTTCCCTACCCTAGATGTGTCCGTTCTATTGGGCCATGATGCTTCTTGAGGGGAGAGTGAATTTTACGAAGGACCCTCAACGGCCTAGTGATGGTCAGCTTCTTTTCCACTCAGTTGACTGGTATCAGTTTCTTGGGGCTGTTGTAACAAAGTACCACAAGTTGTGTGGCTTGAAACAACAGAAATGGTCTCACGGTGCTGGAAGCTACCAGTCCAGAATGGAGGTGTCGGCGGGGTTGGTTCCTTCTGAAGGCTCTTAGAAAGAGTCTGTTCTGTGCCCCTCTCTTAGCTTGTGTTGGCTCCGAGCACTCCTTGGCTTTCAGATGTGCCACCCCAATCCTCCACCTTCATGTGACATTCTCCCTGTGTGTCTGTGTCTTCTTGTGAGGACGTCACTGGGGCTGGGTGAGGGCCTCCCCCCACTCCGGTATGACCTCATCTTAACTAAATACATCTGCAATCACCCTCTTTCCAAATAAAGTCACATTCTGAGGTAATGGGGGCTGGGACTTCCACATATTTTTTTGGGGGAGACACAATTCAACCCATAGCAGATTATGAACAGAACTGAAAAGAGTAGAATTTAGGACATTTGGACTAGTTGGGAAAATTACTTTCATTTTACCTAATTAAAGGAGGTATTTGAAGTTGGTCATACAGCTTGATGTTTCTTTTCTTTTCTTTTTTTAAAGATTTTATTTATTTATTTATTTGACAGAGACAGAGAGAGGGAACACAAGCGGGGGGGAGCGGGAGAGGGAGAAGCAGGCTTCCCGCGGAGCAGGGAGCCCAATGCGGGGCTCGATCCCAGGACCCTGGGACCATGACCTGAGCAGAAGGCAGACGCTTAATGACTGAGCCACCCAGGTGCCCCCAGCTTGATGTTTCTAAAAACTTTTGACTCCAGGGTTTGCCCGACAGGTTAAAATCGGTTCCAGTTTTAGTCACGGGAGGCATTTAGTTGGGCTGCCACATGCGATGATCATTCCACCTGGACTCTTCTTTGTCCTCAGGTATGGGACAAGGGCCCAGTGTTCCTGTCACAGAATCCTGAGCTGTTGACTGGGGTCGAGAGGAAAGGATGTCCTTAGGACCCCTGGGGAGGGCTTATTCCAAGGCATCTCTAAAGCTTCTTGGGCAGTGGCCTTTTCAGATGAGGGACAGACAGCCCCCATTGGAGTGAGGGTGCTGGAACACTGTAGAAGCTGGCTCATCTTACTCCACTCCAGGCCAAGCACCATATAAACATATGCAGCAGAGATAAGGTTGTTCCAGAAGAAGGCTTCTTACCTGGCTGCGCACACTCTTGGATCAAGAATCATCTCTGCATTAGGTGGGATCCATTCCGTTTAATCACCTGGAGAGTTCTTTAAATTGGGAGTTTGTTAAGAAAACAAGAGGATAGGGTGCCTGGGTGGCTCAGATGGTTAAGTGTCTGCCTTCGGCTCAGGTCATGATCCCAGAGTCCTAGGATCGAGTCCCGCATCGGACTCCCTGCTCCTTGGGAGCCTGCTTCTCCCTCTGCCTCTCTCTCTCTCTCTCTGTCTCTCATGAATAAATAAATAAAAATCTTTAGAAAAAAAAAAGAAAACAAGAGGATATATTGAGAGTGTTGGGGGCTCTGGTCTGAAATGAGAAGTAGAAACTGCTGGATTTCTCCCCCTTTCCCTCAACTCCTTCCCCCATCTAATCCATAAGCAATGTTGTTAGCTTCACCTCCCCAGGGAAGCCCAGTCCTCTTCTCTTGTCTGTTACTGCTTCCTTCCCAATTCAAGCCACCTTCCTCCCTCCTCGGGACCTCTGCTGGAATCTTCCGACTGGTCTTCCTGCTTCTGGTCCTTGTTTCCTGTAGTCCGTTTTCCACCCAGCAGCCAGAGTGGTGTTTTAGAAACCCAATTCCAAGCATGTGGCCCCTGCATTGAAACCTCTCCTCATGTCCCTTGACGTTTAAAGCCCTACACAATCTGGTGACACCACTAGTATGAATTTATTTCTTACTTGTGTTGACGCGCAATGAACAAAACTTTTAGAATTTCTAAAAAAATAAAAAGGAAGAGAGTTTTCTTCGAGCCCCAGTGGGGACAGATCCCCCGGGATACACAATCTCCACAAAGAAGAGAGTGCTCTGGAGAAAGAATGTGGAATACAGGGTTACGTAGGTTTTTTTTTTTTTTTTTTGTTACCTCAAGAGTTACAAATCAACATGATGAAGGACATTTCAGACAGTGACAAACTTTATCTTATGCTTTTAACATGTGCACAGTTGCCGGCCTCGGAGGTGTGGAATGGAACTCGGGGAGCTTTTTACCTTTATCTTTAGTTTGAAATGTTTCTTTTAGGTCATTTGCTAATGAAACAGATGTACAATGTGCGCTCAGGGCAGAAAGAGAGTCCACGCTTTGAAGTTTGTTGAAGTCATTCTGACTTGGGTAAAAATATAGCTTCCCTGGGAGCCACGAGCAGGGCTTGCAAACATTAATAGCTGAAAATTTCCTTTGCCACTTGTTGGAATCTGTTCCTTCCCCTGTCCCTGTCCCTGTCTCCACCTCCCATTAGAATGTAAATCTTTGAGAATAAGCATCTTATCTGTGTGCTGATCACGAGACACAGAACCGTGCCTGGCGTCCTGTGGGTGTTCAGCCAGCCTGTTTACAATGCAGATGACATAAATGAGTTTAGGCGAGGAACCACGGTAATTCTGTGTTCAGCTCTGACATCAACTTTTGGTCCTTTCCACTGAAGAAGCAGTGAGAGTCCTGAGCCAGGTGGTAGAGGGCATGATCGGGATTCTTCTAGGTTCTGCTGATACCCTTTTAGGCATCTGGACAATGCTCCTGTTCACACTGACCCCGGTGCCCCGGGATCTTTTCACACACTGCCCTCCTGGGGCCAGAGGAGATCCTCAGTCATTACGTCAAGTACCAGATCTATCCACTAGAGGGGCATAAGAGCACAGTGTTAAGAGTTTGGGATCTGAAGGCTGTGCTTGTTTGCATCTCTTCCCTTCCAAGTGAGGTTCTAGAATGCAGACGGAGGAATGAATCCTTTGGGATCGTGATGATGAAGGAAGGCAACAACCTAGTGATGTCAGAAGAGCAAGATGGAGCTAGTGGCAATATAACAATACAACACATATGACATGAGGGTTCAGACTTAGGGTTTTTTCTGTTTTTGTTTTGTTTTGTTTTGCTTTGTTTTGTTCTGGAGGTGGGCTGCCTAGGTTCAAAAGTGAAAAGGAGAGGAGAGGGCATATCTCTTCTCTTTGAAGACAGTCTAGAGGTTATGCCCATTATTTCTGCTCACATCCTATTGTCCAGAAAATCCCGCTGCTAAGGATTCATGTGGCCATACTTTTCTGCGGGACAGGCTGTGAAATGTAGCCTTTTTTTCTGAGTGGCCGCAATTCTGTAGTATGGAAGAAGGGGAAAATGGATATTGGAGGTTTACTGGCAGTTTTGACCAGAAGTCTTCAAACCAGCTGAGGTTAAAGAAGCAATCTGGGTTACAAATGGACTGATTTGTAGTTAGAGCAGGGGACTCCCGGGGTGATTCAGATTCAAGCCACTAGTTATCAGGTTTAGCTTTCTTCTTTGTTTGTAGTTTAATTTAGTTTGCTACATCAGGTAGATTTTTGGATTTTACAAACTGGATCCTCCCACCCCCATTCCCCATGATGTTCTTTTAGAATCTTCTTTGCCTGGCCTCCTGTCATTATGATTATGCAGAACTGGTCAGTTAGCATTATTTAAATCTTTTGTTTGCCCTCTTAGCATCTTATTATATGTTAGTGGAGACACATGGAAGTGTCATCTCCTAGGGCATGAGTGATGAAGCCTGAGTGGTCAGCTCTCTTCTTTTTACATTTGACTGACTAATCACTTTGGAACACACTGTTGACCCCGCCCCTTGCAGTTGGCTGTTTTTTGGGACCGCTAGCACGGGTTCACTGTTGGAGCTCCAATCTACCTAATTTACCATTGATGCTGTTTAGACCGTCCTGTTCTTCATACGCTGCATACTCTTTCCAGATTATTTGACTTATTTCCTTCTCTGTTTACAGAGATGAAAAAAAGCATATTCATTACTTACAAACAGGAATATACTTACACTGGAAGAAACAAAAAGCTCAAATATGTAAATACTCTTCTCCTTGTTAAAATCAACAAAAATGAATCATGCCCCATTTTTTGGTATTTTAATCCCTGCACCTCTCCGTCTCCTCATATTAACCTTTCTCTTTTGAATGTTATTTATTTATATATTTATTTATTTGAATGTTATTTTAATTCTTGGAATTTTACACACATACATTCAAAAGAACTTTTTTCAATTAACCATCCTTCCCCTTTATTCTTTCCATCCCATCCCTCCTTCCCCTCTTCCTCTTTATACTTCTTGAGCCAAAATTATTTCAACACTGCAAAAGGGAGCCCCTATAAACTGGTTTCTTGATTCTTTAAACATTGCCCTAGGGGTGCCTGGGTGGCTCAGTCAGTTAAGCATCTGACTCTTGATTTTGGCTCAGGTCATTGATCTCATGGTTGTGAGATCTGGCCCGTGTAGGGCTCTGTGCTGGGTGTGGAGCCTGCTTGGGATTCTCTCTTGCACTCCCTCTGCCCCTCACCCCTCCCCCTCTCTAAACAAAACAAAACAAAATAAAATAAAATAAAATAATAAAATAAAACATTGCCCTAGTACTTTGACAGCATCATTGCTTTCTGGAAACAGTGGGTTTATCCTGGATTTTTCCTGTTTCCAAACTTAATGTGAACTTTTTTCAATAAACCCTCGTTCCTTTCAGTGGAGAACAGCATTTGTGATTAAAATCTGGGGTTAGGAAGTTTGCATGAGTGTTTGTAGTGGGCAAAAGTGCCATTGTTGTGGGGCTACTTTTAGTGATAAAGCTGGAAAAAATATTCCTTTTTTAAGCTTAAGAACTCATGTAGCATTTATGTTTTGTGACATGCCCCTGAAGAGGTCAGTCGTTCAAAAATATTTGACGGACACTTAGGTTGCTTCCATGTCTTGCTATTTTAAATAACACTGCAATGAACATGAGAGTCTGTATATCTCTTCAGTGTCTGATTGTGATTTCATTTCCTTTGGGATTGCTGGATTATATGGCAGTTTCATTTTTAATTTTTTGAAGAACCTTTACTCTGTCTTCTATAGTGGCTGTGCCAAGTTACATTCTTACCAAGAGTGCACAAGAGTTACTTTTGCTCCATATCCTCGTCAATAGTTACTCCTTGCCTTCTGATTAGAGCCTTTCTAACAGGGGTGAAGAGACAGCTCATTGTGGTTTTGAATTGCATTTCCATGATGAGGAGTGATGTTGAGCATCTTTTCATGTGACTGTTAGCCATCTGAATATCTTCTTTGGAAAAATGTCTATTTGTTCTTCTGCCTATTTTTTTAATTGGATTTTTTTCTTCTTACTATTGAGTTGTATGAGTTCCTTATATATTTTGGAAATTAACCCCTTATCAGATATATGAGTTGCAAATATTTTCTCTCAGTCTGTAGGTTGCCTTTTCATTTTGTTGACTGTTTCTTTTGCTTCACAGCTTTTTAGGTTGACATAGTCTCACTACATAGTGATGATGGTCACACAACTTTGTGAATGTACTCTGTGCCACTGAATGTACACTTCTAAATGATTAACATGGTTAATTTTATGTTATGCATATTTCACTACAATTAAAAATAATTACTACACATACAAACATATATTCATAAATCACATTATAGGAACCTATCAACAATGAGTTTGACTTAAGAAATTTAGCCTCTCTCAACAAAATGAGATCTGCAAAAATATTCAGATGTTGGAATTTATCAGACACACGAGAAGAACAATTATCCTTACTATATCTAACAAAGTAAAAACAAGATTAAAAATATTTGCAAGGATAAGAAAACTATAAAACAGCATAATTGTGAAAAGTAAGTACTGTAAGTTAGACAGCTTTCCTTGGCAATTCTCCTCAAGTAAAGATCTGGATGTTTTTCT